TTAAAATTAAAATCTGAACTTCTTTTGAGCAAATGCAATAGTTCCATGATCCTCCTCATATATTGCTCGCTAAGCACGCGGGAATCTAAGCTTAAGCTCTTCGGGCGATGTCTATCTTTACGATCCCCTTGACCCATCTATTTCCTATACCTCTGACCATATCTTCTGCCATGATATTATTTAAAAAAATATTGGAATCTAAAATTAAAAAATATTCAGGGGAAGTATGTTATCGCTTGCACGTGTTGGCTATATTGAAGCAAAGATAGTTTAATTTACTAGTCTGTTTATATTTGATCTTCTTAATTTCAGGTTATAATGCATACACCCTTCCTTTGCTTGGAGAACTTTTTTTGTACATAACGCTGCAAGCTTTTGAGCCACATTTTCTAGTCTTGTCCTATAATTTGGCTGCCCTACTCGAATCTTTCTTATATATACTGTTTTTGTAGAATTACTTATTGCAAAAAATATGGTGATTTTAGGAAAAGTCAATATTAGTTATTATATTGTACTTCTTATCTTAATAATATTCTTGATGTAATTATTTGCAATGCTCAGCTCAATATTATGTTTAGTTTATAAATATGCTACAGCATAATCATTGTTAAGTAATTGGGTACTTGATATTCTGATCAACAACTATTCGGCGTATCATCTAATTCAACAGCCACGCTCAAGCTCATTCTTATAATGTATTTGCTTTTTAGTAATTACTACCATGTTTTTTTACAACCTATAATATTTCTTGTAAAGTCATAATAAAGATCATCTGTAGTACCAAACACTTTTCTTATAAAGGAGTATTGGAAGGATTATCATCTGAACTATTAGGTGGATATGCACCTAATTTTTTAGATGATTTATAAAAGTTGAAAGCAAAACTTTTTTATTTGATGATTAATAAAGTTTCTATTCGTCATTTACTTCTGGTATTAGAAATTATAAGATGTAACTTGACTGCCTTACATTTACTTTTTATAATGCAATAAATGATGTAATACTCTGTTACTTTGCTAAGCCCATATTATGGAGTATTACATAGAATAGGAGAACATTTATAGGCTATTGTATGTGCTATGACAGCAAACATAATTGATGCCTTCATACATCTTTTAAAATTAATGTGTAATTATGAAAAGAAAGTGATTCACACAATCCTTATGTGTTAATAAATATTATTTTAGCATATTGTAAACGAACTTTAATGGATATTATGTGAAAGCTAAACTTGTGAATATTCAACAGCTACATAAGCATTGATCCTAGATTTGTAATTTTATGAGTGTCTTCAATCAACATCTATATAATTTAAGGTAACCTTTGCATTCATTGATACTACAAAATACAAGTTATCACATCTTATCCTATAACTTTTATAATCAATATATAATTTGTGATCATGAAGTGTTGAAAACAATCCAGCAGTATTATGAATACTCTATGCCAAAAATAAGAGAATATAGCAAAAAAAAATTGAAAATGTCCATCATGTATTATTGACATATGCTTAGATGATATGTCCAGCAAAAATATAAGTTAGGGTTTCTTCTAAATTTGCCCTACTTGAAGTAATTAGGCGAAATTTATTTTGCAAAATATCAAAGCAATTCCTTGACAACTGTCGTAATTTCCACAACATTATTTTCAATGCACTTCTAAACTATGTGAAAGGAAGTTATTTAATCTTGTTTTCTAACAGAGTTCTATATCGATTCAATTTAACCTATTAGAACACATATCTCAAACACATTAGTAGCAAGATTCTTCCTCAGAAATATATTCTATAAGCACTTCATGTGTGGCTGGGTGATGAACTTGGTTACTATGAACCTCAGAATACTTTCAGCTCTTGTCGCAATACCTAGTCAATATTCATGAAATAGTGATACTCAAGAAAATAATTAGCTTTCCTAAATAATCGGGCACAACATATGTAATGTCATCCCTATTTATATATAGACTCTGAACTATTCTTGTAAGTGGGATTCTTTTTAAACCTTTTTCTACTCCTCAGTGTATCAGCTCTTCTTTGAAAGATATGTGATGCTTACTAAAGTCATCCCAAATTCTATATATAAAGCAGTTGCAGATTCATGGACACTTAGTGGATTTGAGATGAATGCAGAATAAAACTTCAACAATTGCTCGCTAGTTATAATAGCTGTAAAATGTAACAATTCTGATTCTTTTTTGTTTGAATTATGTATTTTTTTATAAAATTTTTTAACCAAACCCCTTTTTAACTTGTGTCATGTTTGGACATAATATAAAAGCATTTATAAGAATTTCTGTCGTTATCTGCTTGTAAAATCAGGTTCCAAATTCTATCATGTTTGTTAACAATCATCCGTCCCTTTACATACAATATTCAGGTTATTGAGACTTTGAATTTGTTCTTGAAATATTGAATCATAATAATTTCTCTTTTAGCTTCAAGCAAAAGTATACTTGCATCTAAAATGAATGAATGTGAATACTACTTGTGCTGCTTACTCAGTTATGGTGTCATCATTCAGCCAGCAGCACTGAGTTTATAATTGTAAAATTTGGTTAATTTTGATAGGATATTTTGAGATTTGTGCTCCTTATAGCAATTATAGTCAACTATTTTCTAAATGATATAATATTAACATCATAGCTAGCTAAATTTATAATCTGATGTAACTTCTCTCTTAATTCTTCTCTTACATCAAATAATGCAAGTATTTTACATGATCAAACATATATAAATTTTTTCCTAGTTTTTGTTATAGGGAATGCGTTATTTATTATACCAAAATATTACTAAGATTGCTTATGAACTTATATTTTTTAAATAACTTTTATGTTTCATTTAATAGTGTCTTCACTGTTTATTTATCACAGTTGTTAAGTTGCATTAGATAAACAAATTAAATTACTTTTGCCATCCTATGTTTAAAGCTTCCGCTACTTTTGTTTTTGGTAACCAATAACAATTAGGACTTAATTTCAAGGAATGTGATTACTCATAGTATGAATTATTCAGGAGATGAAGCCGTAGGCAACCATATTACTGATATGCTCCTAAATTCTGGAAGCTTCTTAAGACATCATCACCAAACACTCATAGAAAAAAGGGATTGAAGATTTTAAAAAGTATTAGTATAAAACATAAAAATCACTTATATTGTGACTTAACTGATTAAATCGATCATCTGCAATAAATTATTACCATCAAAATACATTTATAGAAAGTCTAATTCATCACGTAGTCCTGTCTATTGCTTTTGACTAAAGTATATATATTCTATAAACTATGGGTTTAAGAAAAATTTTTAGGATTTTACAAGCATTCTAGGCAAGTGATTTAATCTTTCCTTATGATTGAAGGACTAAATGCATATTATATAAGAATTACCATTTTTAGCATTATTACCTAATTCAAAATAACCATATTGGCACTCATTATTTAGGAAGGGTTCATCAATTAATTCTAAACCTGCTTCTTTATAACCAATACAAATTTAATCATCAATGGTATTATAAGGACAAATACACACTTTGTGTTCAGGCAAATAAATCCTTTTTAATTCTTTTGAACAAGATAAACAATCTTCATTAGTTGGGCCATCACATTCCTAACAACTGTAATGACAGTTCTACTCAGAAAATACTTAGTTACAATTTAATAAAAACAAATTTCTTATTAATATTAACAAGTAATTTGATTTAGACTATTAGATATTCCCAAATTGTAATTTAAATTACGTCTATTAAAATTGATGAACTTCAATTTAATGTCTATACTCATGAATCAGATATTAATCATAAAAATTAATTTAAATATCCATTAAATTTTTATCAATTTAACCTAAATTTTATGCCATAAATTGATGCTGTGGCTAATATCAAAAGATTTCATTATTAGAAATGGATTATTAGAAAAATCAATTGAAACAGTTGCACAATAATTTAATTCTAATTATCTGATAATAGATATTGAATTTAAAGTGGAGATAAGTTATCATTAGATAAATTTGGATTTTCAAAATTAGCTGCTAATTTAATATATTGATATAGAAATTGGTTGTTTTCTTTAATAATTTCTTTAATTTTTACCATACTTATAAAACAAAAGAATCAATTCTCTTTTAAGTTAATAGTCAATATTATCATCTTGAATTTTTGCAATTAAATTTGGTTTGCACAAACAGTTCTCATAATTAAGAAAAACACTTTTCACATATTCAAACCAATCAATAATTGTTAGTTCATCTAATATCTTAAACTTTTATATCATGATAGTTCCAGGAAAGTATGAGAATTTTTAATCTTTTTAAATTGATTTTATTCTCGAAGCACTTACAATCAAACTACCTCCAAAAGTAAATTAGAGATCTACTCCCTAAAACGGGTATCTTATTTCCTCAATTTTATGAATCATTATTTGTTATTATGATATTATCAAAATTTCAAATCGTTTTTATAAGGGCCATTAAAGCACTTCAAGAAAATACCAAAAACTTTCATATTAGAATATTTCAACCTAGATTTCATATTCTTTCTCTTCATCTTCGTTGTTTACAAATTTTATTTTCTTTGTTATTTTGTTTGCCTCATAATCTAAACAGTCGTAATATATAAAATTTATTTCATTGCTTCTCTTATCTCGTATGTGATGAAACTAATAAAAATTACTATCAAACAATCCAACTGGACCAGTCTAAGATATTGGACTTAGTGGATTCCAAATGCCATAGCTAAAATATTTTTCCTATTAAAATGCATCGTCCTCAATTTTTACAGATTAACGTCCTACCTAGAATAAGGGATCTAATTCTTATATTTCAAATGACTATTTTGTGT